AGCCCTAAGCCCTAAGCCCTAAACCCTAAACCCTAAACACTCCGCGAAGGCGTCGGGAGAAGGAAAAGAAGGAGAAAGACCGCGGAGACAAGGGCGCTGTGGGACCCCCGATCTCGGGGCTCAGGGTCCGCTGGGGTTGAGGGTTGTTGGGGTTGAGGGTTGTTGGGGTTGAGGGTTTAGGGTTTAGGATTTAGGGTTTAGGGTTTAGGGTTTAGGGCTTTGGGTGTTGGGGTTTAAGTTTAGGGTTTAGGGTTAGCAGGGGTTTAGGGTTTAGGGGTTTTGTTTTTTTGGGGCAGGTTTAGGGGTTCATGGGGTGTTGTGGTGAGGGTTTAGGGTTTAGTGGGGTTGAGAGAGTAGGGTTCAGGGTCTTGAGTTTGATCTTCAGGGTTGCTGGTTTTGACGCCAGGGCTTGGGGGCTTACTTGCGGGTTGGCGTGGAAGGGCTGTAGGAAACTTCGAGCCCTCATCTTGAACATGTTGTGTGCCGGGAGGTTACGACCCAACTCTATTCCTTGACACCTTTTCAGCCTTGAAGCCTTGAAGCCTTAAAGCCTTAAAACCTAAACCCTAAACCCTAAACCCTAAACCCTAAACCCTAAACCCTAAAATTTGAGCCCCTAATGACCGAAGCCCCCGTGAAAGCCCCCAGAAAGCCCCCATGCTGCATGGCAGGCTTTAGGGTTTATTCAGGGGTATAGTAAGGAGGGACCCCTAGAAGGGACCCTTAATGATATTCCCCGAATATAGCCCCTACCTAAGTAGCCCCCAAAATAACCCCCTATGTAACCCCTAAATACCTGAATATATAACCCCTAAGTAACCCCCAAGGTCCCGTTTAGTCCCTTGAGTTTAGGGCGAACCTTCAAAGCTGAGGTTCCCACGAAGAAGGCCAAGGCAGATGCAGCTGTTGCTTCGCAGTGGAACGGGGACAGCGATTCCCAAGCAAAAAAACTCGGGAGGTGGATCGGGTGGGTGGACCGGCTTAGGGTTTAGGGTTTAGGGTTTAGGGTTTAGGGTTTAGGGTTTAGGGTGTAGGGTTTAGGGTTTAGGGTTTAGGGTTTAGGGTTTAGGGTTTAGGGTGGGTGGACCGGCTCCTTCGTCCTCCTTCGTCGAGTATGAGTATGAAAGCAGCCAGTGGATCTGGGACGAATGCAGTCCAGGAGTCCTGCCTGAGGATGAAGACCAGGGAGGCGGAACAAGCTGCACGTGGAGAGATGGCTCCAGTGACGCCACCCAGGCCCAAGACGACCATCGAGACTCCACCAAAGACAGCGCCAACGACGCCTCCAAAGGAGCCAACAGTTCCAGCAGCAGATCCCCCAGCCTGGCCCAAAGATTTGCCAAAGGCGCCTACCTTGCAGGTGCCTCCGGTTCCGCCAAGTCTGCCAACCATGCTGTGGACGCCAGTTCCGGGACTTCATGGTGGAACGACATGGGTTCCAACGGACTTCCGCCTTTGCCTCCACCCACGACACCACCGCCGGGTGGACCATCATTTGGAGTTGGAGTTCCCATGACACCTCAGGCCCTCGACCCCGCCTCAACCCTGAACCTAAGCCCTAAACCCTAAACCCTAAACCCTAAACCCTGAACCCTGAACCCTGAACCCTGTACCCTGGACCCTGGACCCTGAACCCTGAACCCTGAACCCTGAACCCTCAACCCTCAACCCTCAACCCTCAACCCTAAACCCTAACCCTAAACCCTAAACCCGAAACCCTAAACCCCCCCTTGCCAAGGCGGCTCCTCCAGCCCGCCAGACATCTGAGGAGCGTTACGGCCCCAGGTTTTGGTGTTTAGGGTTTTGGTTCAGGGTTAGGACTTTTGGTTCCCGGGGCCTGAATGTGGCCCCTTACCCTCGTTCAAGCCTTCTCACGTATGTGCCCTTTGGGTTCTTTTGGTTACAAGATCTGCCCTAAACCCTCAACCCTAAACCCGAAACCCTAAACCCTAAACCCTAAACCCTAAAACCCCTTAACCCTAAACCCTGGGTTTACGGGTTTAGGGTCTGTGCGAGGGTTTAGGGGTTAGGGTTTGGGTGTAGGGTATGGATCCCACTGCTTCGGCCAGGAATGTCTTAGCCCCCGGCTTACTGGGGAGCCTAGCTGTTGACACCCTGCCCCAAACCCTTTTCGGGTTTAGGGTTTAGGTCTAGGCTTCAATATATCCAGAAGCCCCTAGACCCCACGCCTGCCACCCTTAAACCCTTACCCTGATACCCTTTGACCCGCAAACCCCGAGCACTGTTGACCTAAACCCCAAACCCTAAACCCTAAACCCTAAACTGTAAACCCTAAACTGTAAACCCTAAACCCCAAACCCCAAACCCCAAACCCCAAACCCCAAACCCCAAACCCCAAACCCCAAACCCCAAACCCCAAACCCCAAACCCCAAACCCTAAACCCTAAACCCTAAACCCTAAACCCTAAACCCTAAACACCAAGGTAGGGCCATGATTGCGTCTTGGAACGCCGAGAAGGAGGGCGGCGTCGTTGCCTGAGGCTCCCTTTCGTGTGGCGCTGGGTGCTTCCCAGCCCGAACGCTGGACCCTAGACCCTGAACCCAAATCCTTCGGCCCCAGACCTTAGACCCTAAAACCCTAAACCCTAATCCCTAAACCCTAAACCCTAAACCCTAAACCCTAAACCCTAAACCCTAAACCCTAAACCCTCTGCCCTCTAGACCCTAAACGCCGTAAACCCTAAACCTTGGGCCCTAAATCCAAGCCCTAAACCAAACCCGAAACACCTCCCAGCAGAGGAGCATCGAGGCCTTCTCTGATCCGCTGGCTCGAAAAGGAGTGCTCAAGTCGAGCACGTAAACCCTACAGCCCCCCAAAACACGCCTAAATCTGGGGCCTCAGTGTTCCTTAAGCCCTAAACCCTAAGCCCTAGCCCTAAACCCTAAACCCCAGACCCCTAGACTCTAAACCCTAAACCCTAAACCCTGAACCCTGGGGGCTATTTTGTGTTTCTCCAAGGGGCACTGAAGGGGTCGAGGTCAACCCCAGAGCCTCTGAGCAATGGCTGCCATCGGCCTGCAGCCCAGTTTGTGGCAGCGACGCCGGGGGCGACTTGGCTCTAAACCCTAAACCCTAAACCCTAAAACCTAAACCCTATGATGAAAGGTGTGGAATGAGACGCACCCGTGGCTTTGGCTTTTGTGGTTCCAGGACATGCCGTAGGCATCGGAACACAAGCAGAAGCAGCACAGACATGCAGGCAACAGGTCGCATGTGTCTCTCTTTGTGCCTTTGTGCGTGTTGTTGTGTGGTCGCCTTTCCGTGGTAGAGGTAGGACCGCCCGACTGGCCGATGGACTTCGGTGCTGCAGTGTGAGGAAAAGTGGCCTCTGGTGGTGAAGCGGTGTTCGTACCAGGAGTACAAGCCGAGCCAGAGCCAAGCACAAGCCTCCAAGCTGCCATGTCGTTTGCTGGACCTCAAGAGCCCCGCGCTCTTGAGGTTATGAGCCCAAGCGGCCTGGGCGCAACCGCTGGATTGTTGAGTTCCCCTACGCTGGTTGGTGAGACAGCTGGGCCGAACTACGGATCTTTGACAGTTGGTGCTGGTACAGATAGTACTGGTGCAGTTGGTGCTGGTACAGATGGTGCTGGTGCAATTGGAACTGGTGCAGTTGTTGTGGGACCGGTTCAGGGTGGAGACCTGAGTACACCTGCTGTTGCCGATGGGCAGACAAATAGTGGTGTGCTGGGCAGTGGAGACCCTGGTGTTACTGGTGGCCTGGAAATGGAGCAGGTCAACGACAACTGGCCAGTGGTGGAGCAACCTAGGGTTTTGGAGTCCAGCAATGGTGGCTTGGAGACTGCAGTGGCAGCCGAAAGATTTGGTGCAGTGCAGATGGTGCAGACAGCCATGGAAGGCACTGCAAATGCTGGTTCGCCGACAGCTGCGTCGCGTACAACTGGGCTGGAAATGAGGTATGTCCAGACTGGAACGGGCGCGTATGGATGGATGACAAGGCTGACGGACTTTCTGCGAGCGACGACGACTGGTGGTGGTGGTTTAGGGGATAGGATGTTAGGGTCTTTAGGACTAACACCCAATCAGGCCCCGGGAACGCCCCGCAGCCACAGCAGCAGAGCAGCAGCCGCAGCAGCAACACCGCAGTCGGCAGCCAGGCAATCGCCTTGGAATTTCTCCCCGCCGGAAGAGCTCCAGGTGATGACCCAGCACGTGGAAGGTGGGGGTCACTCAGCGTTGTTCGACCAGAGGGCGGTGGAAAGAATGAACAGTTGGCCTTCTCGTGGACCTCTACTTCATGGAGAGCAAACGTCGCAAGGGTCTACGGGATCGTCAGAAATTCGGGTTGAAGTGCAACGTCAGCTGGGACAGTACATGAGGGATCGCAGAGACCAGGTGCAGACCGAGGTGGTGGCTTTGCGACGACAGGTACAAGAGCTGATGAATGCTGGTTTTGGGAGACAGTCTGGGGGCGAGGCCGAGCCGGGAGTTGGTCGAGTTCCAGGAGGTCCTCAGGTGCCAGGGGATGATCCACTTCACGGAGTACCTCATGGAGGAGGTAGCTCACTTCACGGGACATCTCGAGCACAAGGTGGTCTTTCTGGAGCTGGCGTTCCTCAAGTTCCTCAAGGTCCTCAGCTACATGGAGTTTCGGGAGGTTCACAAGGGCCTCAGCTTCTTGGTGGTTTGGGAGGTCCTCCTCAGCTACCTGGTGTTTCGGGAGGTCTGCAAGGTCCTCAGCTTCCTGGTGGTTCGGGAGGTCCACAAGGTCCTCAGCTACCTGGTGTTTCGGGAGGTCTACAAGGGCCTCAGCTACATGGTGGTTCGGGAGGTCTACAAGGTCCTCAGCTACCTGGCGTTACGGGAGGTCCACGTGGTCCACATGGTCCTCAGCTACCTGGCGTTCCTCAAGTTCCACAAGGTTTTCAGCTACCTGGAGGGCACCAGCAGATTGGAAGTGGTGGTGTGTCGGGAGTTGGCCAAGTTCCTGGAGCTCCTCAAGCACCTGGAGGTCCTCAAGCGTATGGAGGTGGACCGCAAAGTGCAGGGGAGTTGCCAAGGAGTGCAACTCGTGGCCCGAACCAGTCGGCTGGTTCTGGGGCTGGAAATGTGGGCGGTTCCTCATTTGGTGGAGGGATTGGAGATCAGCCGGGACTGGTTGGAATGCTGGCCGCAGGTATCCAGCAGCTCCAGCAGGCACAGCTGAACATGATGAACCAGAAGGTGGGTCAGCCGGAGCAGGTGAAGCCTGGGATTGCAGCTTTGCCGGCATTGGATCCTCCTGGCGCTGAGGATAGCCCGGTCGTCATTCAAGACTGGATGGAGCTGATTGACGGGCCGATGCGAGACCTCAGTGATGGAAGTGGTGCTTGGTGGGAGGCCGTCAAGAGTGAGGTCTCGTTGCACTACGCGAAGTGGGTGGCAAGTACGCCCTACCAGAGGTTGGCTATGCAAGGGCCCTCTGGAATGGATTTGGACGACGGGCGGTACGCTCGTGTCAATGCCCGAGCTGCTGGGATGTTGCTGGCAGCATTGGCACCGGAAGTCCGGAGGGACTTGGTGGCGAGGCAGTGCACTCGCAGTGCGGTGAAGATCGTCTACCGGCTGTATGTTCAGTACTGCCCGGGGGGTGAGTCGGAGAAGCTGCACCTCCTGAAGTCGTTGACGGAGACTACCAAGGCAGCAGATGCAGAGCAGGCAGTGCGGGCCTTGCGTCAGTGGGAGAGATGGATGCAGCGAGCTCAAGGTATCGCTGTCACTTGCCCAGATCCGATGATCTTGGCTAGAGGGCTGTCGGTGATCGTGGCGGGCGTGCTGCAGAAGAATGCAGACGCTGCTTTCAGGACATCCCTGGTCAAGAACACGTTGATGGTCGACACGTCGCCGACGTTGGCCACCGTCATGCAGTACCAGCAGCACCTCAAGGCGGAGATGGAGACGCTGGCGGGTGTGATGGTGATGGGAAGCAGTCGTGGTGCAGAGCCTAAGGCCAAGCCTATGCAGGTGGAGGATGGGGCTACAGACCGCGACAAGGACAAGGATCGGGACAAGGGCAAGGGCAAGGACAGAGAGCGAGACAAAGGAAAGGGCAAGGGAAAAGAAGCCTTTGGAAAAGGAAAGGACGGCGAGCAGAAGATCTGTCCGTGGTTCGCCAAAAGTCCTGAAGGATGTCGCCGAGGGAAAACGTGTCGCTTCAAGCACTCCTTCGAAGGGATCTCCAAGCGTGGGCGGTGCCTTGAATGTGGAGGTGAAGGACACATAGCGGCGGATTGTCCAACGAAGGCCTTGGCGTCGAGACCTTCGAGTTCTACTGGTGGAAAGGGCGGTGGTGGAGGCCACAGCCAACAGAGCCGGGCGAAGGAGGAGCCTGCAGCTAGAAGCATGGTGTCGGAACCTGAACCACAGCCGACATCACCGGTGTCCACGACAACCTCAGCGTCGAGTCCCCACCCTGAGCTCCAGTCTGCGATGACTGATGCAGTGCAAGCTCTGAGGTCTTTGGTGGGAGAAGGAGCTGGAGGTGGACATCCAGGATTGGCATCGATCCAGAGGCAGCTGGATGAGCTTCGGTTGAGAGCCTTGAGGGTTGAAGACGTGGTGGTGCGACCTCGTGGAGGAGATCCTCGGATGTTCAAGGCAGAGCTGGATGTGCCAACGGTGCTCATTGATTCTGGGGCTACGAACATTCTTCGACAACCTCGAGATCCTCATGAGCTTCAGGATGCAAACCAGGTGAGTGTGGTGCTGGCCAACAACGAGAGGACTCAGCTCTACCAGACGCCAGCGGGATCTATACTCACACCGTCTACAACGACTCAGCCTTTGTTGCCCATGGGAGACCTCGTTCGTGCTGGTTGCGAGATATCTTGGGGACGAAAGGGCTTGAAGATTGTGCACCCAACACTTGGGGTGCTGCGAACCAGCGTGAAGGCTGGATGTCCGGAGCTCACCATGGCAGAGGCGGACAAGATCATTGAGCAGGTGGAAAACGCCAAGCTTCAAGAGTTTCGGGATGAGGTGCAAACCTTGCAGATGAAGTTGGAGGCCCTGAAGGTGGGCGCTAACACTGCACCGTGGACTACGCATCTCGACGACTACGTGGCTTCAGGATCGAGGAATGCTCTCTGGAAGGCGTTGATGGGGCCTGTGTTTGGGGAGCTACCTGAGGCTTTGAGGACAAGGCTGTGTGTGGAGCTGAACCTAGCAAAAGGCTGGGACTACCTGAAGGCTCTTCCACTTCCTCGACGAGTCAAGAAGTCCTTCTTGCAGGCGCCCGAGTGGATCCTGCATCTTCCTGCCCATGAGAACGAGGATGGCTTCCTGAAGGTCTTGGAGCAGGAGGGACGTATGGTGTTGAAGGTGGCTGGTAACATTGAGCAGGATGTCTACCAGGCCTTGCTATGGGCTGCGGTCAAGGGCAAGCTGAAATGCATTGTGGCCGGTGGGGCACATGGGCCTGCTCAGGATGAGGCCGTCTTCGTGAAGTCTGCCCAGGTGAAGTTGCTGTACTGCTTGGCGAG